GGATGCTGGACTAGGTGACCTTTAAAGGTCTCTTCCAACCCAAATTATACTATGGTTCTAGGATCTTTTACCCGCTTGGTAAAACAAAAAACTTTTCAAAACTGGTTTTCTCTTCTCTTATTAGTTTACTTAATCACTGTATCTGCTGAGAGACATTTAAAATTTCTTATTCACAAAAACAGCAAGGTAATAAAACTCCTGATGTTCAAAAGGGCTATTCACTTGCCAGAAGATATGAATGTTTATAGATGCTTTATTAGGCTGTGACCTGAATTATTATTGTCACTTTTAAGATTGCAACTGGCCAGCATAAAACCTTTGTGTGCACAAAGGGTGCAGACTGAGCCATCAGAAGGAGCAAGAAAATAAACATGGCTTGCCTAGCTTTCTGTCGCTTCCCGTTTCACATCCTCCACACATTTTAACTAATGGGACGATCAGCCAGAAATTTTAGAAAGACAGAAATCAATTCTGCAATCAGACGGCTCCCCAAATCAAGCCTAAAGGGGAATTTTCAAAGTCCCTGCAGATCCACTGTAATTGTGCTGAAAATAGATAAAAGCTGCAGAACTGCCATGGGAAAAGCCCCTGGTACCGACATGCTCCCAGAGATCCCAGGAGTGCTCTCAGTTCCAAATGCCCTCTCTTTAGTTACCCTGACATTCTTTTTCCACAGTCCCCCCACCCAAAAAAAAAGAAAAAAAATGGCAGTATCCTTGTATGTTCTAAGCTTTAAAAGACCATTTGTGTCTAAACACCAATAAAATAATTATTTGCACATTTCCAGGAATGCCAAAACAGGAGAGGTTTTTGCCCTCATGCTTTGGGCAAAAGGCATATGTACACTGTTATTCCCTCCAGGACCCTCTCAGCAATTCCAGCACCTCTCTGTGAGACTAATTAGAAGAGAAAACAGAGAGGAAGCTGGTGTTAGATCAGAAATTCAAGCCTGAGTCAGAGAGCTCAATTTTGTTATTCCCATTCTTAGTGCAAAGATGGGACAGAGCAGGCAGCAAAGCCCTGCTTATACTCCAAACACTGTGTTTGTGTCTCCTTTGGTGCCAAGGCTCACAGCAGTGCTCACAGAGGCCACGAGCTGGAGTTCCCACCACATGGAAAGCCAGCTGGAGAGGGAGCTGGTGGCTGCCAGCTTGGTCAGCGTGGTCAAGCAGCACCTCAGACCCTACAGCACTGGACAGTGAGCCCAGGCTGCAGCCACAGAAGAAGGAAAGGAGCATGTAACAGTAAAATAGCTTCTCTCAGAACAATTGCATTTCTTTATAGTCTTCCTCCTCCCCAATATCCTTGTGGGCTGTTAGAGTCTCCCTGGAGAATGAATTTTAATGTTAAAAAAGCCTCTGGCGGATAATGTGCGTATAACACTTCCCAGAGGAGCTGCTGCACTTGGAGCACTAATATCCATCCTGAAGGCTGAAATCACTGACAAGTTGAGCTAGGTGCTCTCTTCTGGCATGAGCTCCCTGCCAACCCAATGCCACTGTCTCCTGTCCAGTGTGATCAGTATCTATGAAGCTGCCCTCGGGACTGAAAAGACAGCTGAGAAGTTCAGAAGTCAGTTAGCTGAGATAAACTGCTAATTTAATGGACTCATTCCAAGTAAACTAAGCCTACTGTGGGAAGGAGATTTTAAAGAGCAACCAGGAATTCCTGGGTTCCCACCAAACAGGTGCTGCATGAGTGAAATGAAAGACTCACTGATGGGAGGATAGGTTAAAGGGAAAACTCTCATTGCTTTTCCTAGGTTTTGAATCCAGTCTTTGCTAGGGCTGCACAGGTAGAAATCTGCAATAATTCCTCTGTAAGTCTCCAGTATAGGATGCATTTCTGTGAAATAATGTTTTAACAGCAAATTTTATGGCAAATAAGTTGGAACACACTACTTCATCTACATCAAAACTTTTTGTGGAGTCTGAGTATCAACAAACTTCTGCCAGAAAATCTTTTCCAGCGGCAGGATAAAATATCTAGTCAAACTGGAAAAAAGATGCTGGCTCTGCATTTGTAATGGGGATACCAGGAATTGTGCAAAACTCCAGCTTCCAGATCTGCTCTGTCTGACTAAAAAAACCACAAGGACTTAAAAGAGCCTTAGAGCTGAATTTTTCAGAAGGAAATCTCCAGGAACTGAGCATCTCTGCTTGTCTCTCTAAAGATGCTTCAATCTCTATTAAAAAGCTGAATATTCAGAAATGTGAAATGCTCCTTCAACTGGCGCAGGAGGCACAGCCACGTGGTCAAGGCTCTCTGCCAGTAACCTGGCACCACACATGGATGAAGGTGAGCTTCTCCCAGGCAGGTATAGTGCCCTAAACACCTTTCACAGCCACAAACATATATCTCTCTTTTCCCAGAAGGAAAAAAACTTGAAAAGTTTTTGTTGCTTCCAGAACAGAACAGCAAGCTCCTTTTATCTGCAGAGGTCTTTCAGGCCAAGACAACCAAGCAGCTCACAGACATGGGTTTCCCTTCTCACATCCTCTCACCTCACCACCTTCTCACCAGGAGATTCTTCCTCTTGGCATCCTTGCATCTTCTCTCCATCATGCTCTTTTCACTTCTGTGCTTCTCCTTCTTGCTGTTTGATGTTTTCATCAGCTCTAATGCACAGTAGGTGAAGGATGAGCATCACCACCTCCCCTGGGCTACCACTGGCCAGGCCTGCTGCAGAAAGGAGCCCTCTGGCATCCTGACCCTCTGCCACAGCTCTCTCCATCTCCAAGGGACCAGAGCTGAGCAGCACCCTCATCCACCCTGCCCCAGCTCTTCCCCTCAGCCTTGGCTCACACTGGTGTCTCAGGCAGGGTGTCTCTCCTGTTTATCACATAGGTACAAGGAATATAAAGGAAGAGTGATGTTAAAATGTTGCTGCAAATTAGAAATCATTGGTGTTACACTAGAACTATTTCCTGAAGACATACCAGCATGCAGGATTGACCTTGTTCTCACTGCTAAGGTAGGCAAATGTTAGGTCAGCACTCCTGCTCTAGTTGAACAGTGGTCAGGTAACATACAGGCTGGTGAAATTTTGCAAATAGGCAAAATTTAACTACTAAAAAAGTCATTTTAAATTAAGAAAAGGGTGAAAATTAATAACACTTGTCTGTCCATGCTCAAGTTTTTAAAAAACACCTCCTCCTCTATCAGAAATTCTCAAAATGGTCATCTTGCCTCAGCCCATTTTTTTCTTCCAATCCATTGCCAGTTTTCTTTTCCACTTCCTCACCACAGGGGCTCTGCAAGTGAGGACACTGTGCCATCAGTCCAGTTAATTTTGACTGTCCTTAGTGCTGTCAATTCTGAGAGCAGGCAGAAGCTTTCAGATAGAAAGTGTCACCATCACAAAATGTAGAAAAACAGTTCATGTAAATAACAGAACTCAAAAGCCTTTCAAAACTGCTTCTTACCTGTAGGGAGATACCAAGCCTTTGTACCCAGCTATGATCTCTGCAAGATTTCCAATTCTTTAAATAAAATATTTCTATTCTTGCTCAAACAAACTCTTCATAATTTCCCAAAAGTGGGAAACACTCAAAGTCCCTCTTTCTATTCCCCAAACCAACTTAGTTATTTTTCCAGATCGTGTAATTTCTCAAAGATGGCAAACAGAGTAAATCTGATCAACTAATTAACCCTTCCCTCTTTCACCAACAGTCACAGTTTCTACAGCATAAAACCCATATTTCTGTCCAGGGAATTTAATTTCACAATGCTGCATTGAATCCATGGAGACAGTTTGGAGAATCATAAACTCTTAAAACTCTAAAACCATTTAAACTCAGTCAGATACAACCTGGGATGGGAATTCTCAGATGTGGAGCTCCCTTTAGTTTCTCTTACTTGCTGGACCAATGCCCACCTATGAGCCAGCAGAAAACCTAGTTTGTAGTTACTTCATCTCCAGATGATTATCTAAAGAAAGCCCAATCAGCAAAATAAAACTGAATTTTTAATTCAAAAGCAGAAAGGTTTGCACTTTGAGAAAGGCTGGGTTATTCTTAGGGAGTGTCTGGAAATATAGTCTTTATTTTAGATGGTCCTCATGTCACTTCACTAGTTGCAAAATTATACTAGTAAGAATCAGTTCAAGAATGAGAACACTTCACTTTTATTAGTCAGTATAAATGACCTCCTTAGTACCCTGATTCTGACAGATTTGGGGTTTTCAGCTAACAACCACCAAAACCTGTCTCACTGGCAATGAGCAATGATGTCCTGAATAATCACAGGAACTCATTTATCATTAAAACATCATATCTCAAAATCAGCTGCCATATCACTTGGCATGAAGAAATAATTGTATTATATTTAACCCCCCAATAACTCAGCTACCTAAGTCATTTCCAAATTATACATTTCCCTTTTCCTAAGCTTTCATTAGACTGACAAATGCCTGTGTCGCTCTGTGAGCTACAAGCTCCTTGGAAGAAGCATTCTTCCTTGCATTGTTACTGCCAGCTGATGGCAGAAGCAGGATGAGTGATTTGTTTGCTTTGTGAGGCTGGCTTTCATTGTCCTGAATTCAACACTAACATCTTGCTAATCCTGCATTTAAATCTACGGACACTAATGCGCCCCTTTTTGGATCTCCTCGCTGTAGTATCAAAGGCTTAGAAGGGCTAACAATAATTTCTCCATCTGTAGGGTTCAAAAAAAACTGAGGATTAAAATCTTTGCAGTGGATAGGTTGTAAATTATGTATTTCTCTGGACATTACTATGAGTAATTCTGCTTTACTTGGAGTGCTATGATCCCAAGTCAGAAAAAGATTAAAGGATTAATTTCCTTCTTGATTCGTTATTCCATGTTTTGTTCTTTTTTTTTTCTTATGTTTCTACTCTGTTTATGTACTAAAAATGTTTTATTCATGGATCCTTATATAATTTTCCATGACCGTGGCACAAGACACATTCACATGCCTTGACGTTTCAAATACACATCTCATTTTATAGTTTAGGATTACACAGACCATAATTGCACGGTATTCTTTTATTCTGATGGTATGACATCAAAACAATTATAAGTACAAATTCAAATTTTGCAGCATAATACTTTCATGTTACAACATATCCAGATGGAAGACTGGTTACTCTATAAGGCTCTTTTTGGGAATGACTTCTGCCCAGAGTTTTTCATTTTTCTATCTTCCATATCTAGAAAGTTAAAAGATAGAAGTGGGAGGAGGAGAAAATACTGTAAACCCACATCAAAATTTTCAAGGGACTGTAATACATCTCATTAGCAGCTTTTTCATCACAATGCCAATTTTTATCAACATGAAAGTTATTTGTGCCCAGGTAAGGATTTTCAGTGCAGTTGGAATGGCACAGGATTCTTCTGCAAAGCACTCCTGCAAATGTACAGACCCAGCATACAACAAACATTCTAATTAGTTCTTGTACAATGTTGCTTTCTATTCCAGTTTGCTGGTAAAGTTAAGGGATGGTGTGTGCTTGTGTTGAATACATTAAACACTTTGTTCTGATCAGATTCTATGCACATTTCACAGAGGAAAATACATCTGCTCCATCAGTGGTATAAAGTGGGTATTTCCTCAGGGGTGTGTAAAGTGTATATAAATCTCTGCATCTGCCTGAGATTTGCATAGATGCTGGAACATAGGTCACTTGTGCACTTAGTTTTCCCTGTGATCTGGGAGCAATGCTGGTTAGCTCTCAATGCTGCAGTGAGATCACAGACATTTTTTGTTTACATGTGTAGAGCTTTATTCTGCTGTGCATAAGGCTCTGTGCTGCATTCCTGCTTTTTACATATTTATAATTAAAAGCTTCCTTTGTGTAGGTTTGGTGTTCATGCACTCAATTAGTTTCATGTTTTATGTTAAATTAATAATTCACATATTTTGTCTATCAATGACTCATAACTAGTATGTAGGTTGAAAATATTTGTCACAGAAAAGCCCCCTTTTGTATAGCCTATTGTCTCACATTAACTCACTTTTTTCTCAAGGAATTCCCCCTGCAGCAATCCCCACTGTAAGCCATTAGCTGTGCACATCTGCCCACTCTAATGACCACTCTAGTGTACACATACCTGACTGCCATCTAATTTAGACATCACCCATAGGACACTAATACTAATGTCTCCTGGGCCAGCTAAGTCCTGGATTATTGACTAGCTACAGTTATCACTTCATTTGGTCTTTGGAGGTGAACCAAGTGCACCTGAGGTCATAAATAGGTCAAATGATTATACAGCTTGTGAAGGATTCAAGTATTTTTTGTTGCCCTAACAAGAACCAAAAATATACTTTCTAATTTGTTTTGACAGGGGATCCAATTGCTTTGCCTTTATGCAATGTCCCCTTTGTGTAGCTATGAAAATGCAGCCAATTAGGCATAAAATTCTTTTTTCCGTATGAGCAGCAAGTTAAACAAATTGGTGCCATTTAAAATTAACATGGAAAAAAGAAAGAAAATTGGTTCCATCAAATATCCAATAATCAATCTTTTATATTATAAAGGAAAGAAAAAGGAAGAAATCAGGGCTGCTAATTCTAATTAAGGTAGCAAATAGGGATGTGATAAACAATGAGGGTTATGATTGCTGCCTATAAATATTGTGAGGAGGTAAACACACAGAGAAAAAGGAGCTATTTAAGCTAAAGGAAAATGGTGGCATGAGAACAAATGGGTATAAATTGTTCCTGAACATGTAAGATTGGATTTAGAAAAACATTTTGAGCCATTGGAAGAAAGGGTTCCTGAACAGTCCTCTAATTAATATTAGAGTGGAGTAAAAAATGCATAAGTGGGGTAAATTGAAGCTTATTAAATAAATTCTGTAACCTGTTTTCATCTGAGAGCAAGGGACTGCATACAGTAATCAAGGACTTCCAGTCTAAAACTGTTTGTACACTAGGCCAAATTCAGATCTGTTGCAAGAAGCACAGCTCAAGCAATATTTGTACCACTGCACATTTTTATATTGAAAGCAAATCCACTTCTGGCTAGAGAAGGAAGAAACAAACTTCTTCCCAAACCTGACAAATTTGAGTTAATACCGGTTCTGAACTTGGCCCAGTGTGGAAGAGATTAAAATGTTTGTGTTTGTAATCAAAACTGTCCTTTGAGGGTAAATACTCAAGTAGCAAGTAAATATGGGAGAAGAGAAAATTTTGGGGTTTCTCCTGTGGACACTTATGTGGATGCCAGCCCACAGGAAAGGCTGACACAGTGGGGACCACATTAGAGTGCAGCCTGGATTTTGACAGCTATAGATTTATGAGAGAAGATAAAACATGTGCTTAAGAAACAATTAATTTTTGTACAAAAAAAAATGTGTTTGTTGGACACACAAACAAGTGTGAGTTCTCATTCAAATCAGCAAATCTACTCAAGAGCTGAGTGTGCTTGATCCTAGACATCTCAAACCCCACTGCCTTCAATGTGAGGTTGGCATTTATAAACAATGTTTTTAAATAGATCCATGCCTAGATGCCTGCATTAAAAAATGTGAGTGCATGCTGTATTAGAACATTTTGATAACAATGTAAAAAGGTCAAAAAAAAGTAATGTACCAGCTCTTCTGTCTGTTAATTTTTGCTTCAGGAGAAGAAGCAGATATAAGGTTTTCTTCAACCAACTTTCTACAAAAACCTGTACTACAGCAAAAAAGGTCAATGCTACAAAACTAGATGCTTTCCTTTCAAACTGTGCTACTTTCACCTAATGTTATCAACTATTATATGGAGCATTGTGTAAAATCCTGGTAAAGGGTAGTCATTTATACACATTTCTTTCTTAGGTGTTTTTCATCGCATGAAAAGTCATCAGCAATCTGCCTCTCACCTGCCTTTGACACTGGGTGAAAGTTGGTGACTGCTGAATTATCGTCATGAGAGGGGATGGAGGAGGCAGCTGTTCCTTCAGAGAGATGTGGTGAGATATCCAGGAGCCACTCCAAATGGGAACCTCCCTTGTTCTCATCACACACAGCCAGTATCACAACAAATGGGGAGTGACGAGACTTTAAAAAAATACAAAACAAAAAGAAAGATAAAGAGGAGTAATATTGTTACAAACAGCAGCAGCATCCCCAGAGTACCACTGCAGCTCAGAGAACTGTTGTTCTGGGAATTGCTTTGCTATTAGTACTAAAAATTAAGCAGTCTCACTAGATGCTGCTAACAGTTTTTAAACTGTCAGAGTGTTTCATATACAATATCTCTGTTTCCCAATTCCATTTCCTCATTAAAAAATCCGGGGGAAAAAAATTACTACATTAATTAGTTCTCCTTCAGTTTTTTTTCTTCTAATTACACTGGCTCCCCTCCCCTTGCCTGTATACATCAAAAAATGTCACCACCTGCAGGGGAGAGATTTGTGCAAGCCTTGGCTGAAGGATCAGGACCTGTGTTGGAGCAAGCACTGGTTCATTCTTTCTCCTACACAACGAAGCAGCAAAGATTGGAACCCGTCCCTTGAGCACAGGAGCAGTGATTGGGCCCAATGCAATGGTTCATCCCTAACAATTTGCACTGGTTTTGGCTGGGGTAGAGTTAATTTTCTTAACAGTGGCTGGTGTGGGGCAGTATTTTGGATAGGTGATGAAAAGCATTGACAACACAGGGATGTTTTAGCTGTGGCAGAGTGGGTCTTACACAGAGGCAGGGCCTTTTCTGCTTCTCTCCCCACCTCACCGGTGAGGAGCATGGGGATGCACAAGGGGCTGGGAGGGGATACAGCTGAGACAAACTCCAAATTGTATAGAATCATGCTCAGCAATAAAACTGGGCAGAGGTGGAGGTTGGTGGAGACTGAGGTTCTCTGGGCACCAACCACTCTGTGGTGAGAAACTGTTTGCTTTTGCATCATTTGTGTTTCTTGGCAGGGGAGGGGAGGAAGGGGTCCCTTCCTCTTTGTTGTTTTTTACTTCCTCTGTTTTATTGTAGGGGCAGTGGGGGTGGGGTGGTGTTAAATACTATTATTTAATAATACTGCCTTTGTCTCAATCCACAGGTTTTCTCACTTTACCATTCCGATTCTCCCCTACATCCCATGGTGTTGGGGAGTGAGCAAGCAGCCGTGTGTTGCTTTGCTGTCTGCTGGGGTTAAGCCACAGAACCATCCCAGGATTTTGCTCCTTGCTGGTGCCCTGCTTTCTTTCCCCAGCCTTGCTCTGCTACTGCCTCCACAATGCAAACCATTACAGGGGGAACACTGGAGCCCCAGCAGCTCCTGCTTTCCCACCCAGCTGCAGCAGCAGGTGTGCATGGGCTGGTCACTTACCAGCACATTTTCTGCACTCAGGCTCCAGGCTTGTTAAGGCTTTTGTTAACACCAAGGTGAAATAAGGATAATTCTCCTTCATCGATGTTTTTCTGGGTCTTATCTTCCTTTCTTCTCCTTGACCACAGAAATGATTGCTCTCCAGACGCTACTTTTGACTCCAGTCACTCAGCATTTCACAGGGGAAGAGAGATGGAAGAAATTGTTACTATTTTACAATTATTTTTACAATGTAGTAAGCACATGCAGGGTGAAAGGCTGAGCAATGACAACAGTACAGATGCAGCTGCCGCCTGCACCTCACATCCCTTTTTCAGCCTGTCCTCACACAGCCTGCTGCCTTGGCTTCCAAAAAAAAAAAATCCCACTTAAAAAACCTCTCACTTGCCAAAAAAAGAAAGCTCATTTGCGCTGCACAATGCTGAATGTAATTTGATTCCACCAACCTGAGCTGTTTGCTGCGTTGCACAGACACCTGTGCCATGAACCAGCCGCCTCTCTCTCGCTGACATGTACACACAATGTGCACCTGCAAATCCCCATCTCTCCTTTCAGGAGGAAATGTGTAGCATCAAAATGTAGGCATCTTCCAGAATTTTTAGAAAGGACTCAAATCCAAAAACCGAACTAATGGGATGATGCCTGGGTAGAAAAGTCTTTGGTGCTATTTAATTGTTAGTCTGGTTCTTAAGAGGGACAACAGGAGCTCCAGATTGCACTAACTTGGTGAATGATCTTAACAAGAGTGATGTCTGTGCATTCAAAACTGGATTTCATGCAAACTACAGTCACTGAGGCCAGCCAGGCACTGGATGGTTTGATGGCTGTTTAATTGATTTGGCCACTTTTTATCTGGTAACAAAATCAGGGGTAATTCCACCTGACACTATTAGTTCTCTAAGCATCCTGTTAATTTCTCTGCTTTGCTGTCCTGTGTGTGCTCTGGCCTCCTCTCCACTCAAAAAATAAATGTCTGGAGAGCAGAGAAATTGTTTTGTGGAGTGGCAGAGGACCCAGGGACCACGGCAGAAATGTTCTCTGCCATCTTCATCTGCACATGAGGGCATTTCTTTCCTCAGCATGCACGGGGGTGTGCCCCACAGCAGCCCCTTCCAGAGCAGATGTAAGATGAGGCTTTTGCTCTGTCCCCATCGCTGCTGGGAAAGCACAGACAGCCCTGTTTAAGCCCCTGCCTCCAGATCTGCCATCTTCCCCTGTCCTTACTCCTGCCTGCTGGGGCCTCTTGCCCTGGGAAAAGGGAGAGGAAAGGAGAAGGGTCACAAAGGACATCTTCAGGGCATGAGACAATCCTGCTAGCGTGCCTCAGCCGGAGCTGCGCTCTCCTCCCCATCCCATGCCCGGGCAGTCAGTAGTCATTCACTTCCACTTAGAGTCACTGTACTCATCTTCTGCTGCCCTGCCTCCGGCTATGGTTAGCCAAGTTCTCATTCTTTAGGCAAAAGATGTGACAGAAAGAATTAGATTTCAATAGAAAAGCCTCTTGATGGAGTTTGTTGTTAAACTTTTAAAAGTTTTTGGATGAAGAGTCATGCAATCGAAAAAATGACCTCTTACAGTGCAGAATATCCTCAATTTACCATTGGCTTTGGTAATACTTTTTAGATCTGAGCTTAAAAAATGCAGACCTTTCAAGAAAAATGCATGGTTTATTTTATTTTCTGTTTATATCCCAGTTTAATTTTAACAGGGTATTACAACCATACTGCTGCTTTGATATGCTAAGTACCTGTCAGCTCAGCAGTGCAAAATAGTTCAAAGAAGCATTCTTATATACGTAACAATACAATATTTTAATAGTATTTAGTTCAATCAACAACAAAAACTAAATCTAAGATAGCAATACTATTAGATTCATAGATTTGCACCTGCCATGCCCTAAGTTCCACCTCAGTGTATTGAATTCTGCACAATCAGGGATTTATAACACCTCAAAGCAGAGCATTTTACTCTTCAAGTTTTGATATCATAAGGAAGGCAACTGGTTTAACAAATGTGCTTGAGTTTGTTCTTGCTTGTAAAAAGAAAAATCTAGACTATCCTGAAATTAATTTCATCATCTGGAACTTTAAGTGCAACAAAAAGCAGAATGTGCCTAGCTCTGCATGTGACCTTGTCTCATGATTGAGGGTTTTTTGGCATTTCTATAGCATTCTGTTTTGCAAACATTCAGTTTTTAATTTTTTTTTTTTGTAAAAGAAATTTGAGTAACAGAATTGCTGAACTTTCTTTTCCCATTACTACTGCTGATATCTGCAATCCACCAAAAGGAAAAAGTTTAGTCAAGGACAGAGGAGCTGAAAGTTAATTTTCCTTTTCCCCACAGAAGTAAAAACTATTTATGAACAAGAGAAGATTACTGGGAACTAAAACCCTGACTTCCTTCCCTGGTGTGAGAACTACAAAACTCTTCAGCTATGATTAATGAGAGGTCTAGGTCAGAGCTTGTAGTGATGACAACAGGTTACTGAACAATAAGGGAATGATCTTATGAAGTACAGAAGTATTTCTCACAGTGTATTTCCCAAGATGCACAGACCACATTTAATAAACAGCTGATCTAAGTGAGAATGTTTCAGGAAATGTTGCCTTTTTGAAGACAACACCAGGTATCTTCACACTACCTCACTCTCCATATTTGTTCAACATCATTACACCTTTACCATGGCATCTAACTTTCCTCTGCCCCACCAAGCACTCTCCTGAAATTGTCTACATTCCTCACTTCATCCATCACTTCATTCCATCACTGGCCATTCTCAATAATCCAGTCTCCAAGGTCCAATTAGCTGCCTGTGGCTCAAGTCCTGTCCACAGGTGTTTTCCAATGTACTGTATCTTTCCCAGACAGACAGACATGGAATTTCAAGCAGCAAATACTATCCAAACAGTGAGAGTTTTCTCTCTTCATGTTTCCTACTGGCTCCAGTAGTGTTTGAGAGGTAAAAGATTTCTCTGGTGTCTAGACTATCCTAAAGCATGGTGACAACCAAAGAGACAGATTTGTGTACAGAACCTGCTAATTCCCCTAATGGTTCTTGATATTGACAATTCAACATACATTAAAGATATTTTTAACAAAGAAATAGATATAAATAATGTTCCTGCACAACAAAGTTCCTCTTTTATCTGCATTTAAGTTCCATTAGTTGTTGCAGTTTTGTTCTCCTTTGGACAAGGGAGCCATTAACACATTTTTTTTTTGTTCTCTTGTCTGTGAATCAAGATGAAAAACAGTAGCTTAAAGAGATTAACTTCTGGTTTTGATAACAAAATCCTGAAACAGGCCAGGATTACAAAGCAATCTATGATGTTTTTTCTTTTAGTTAAATGAAAACCAATGCAATTTCATGCAGACCTATTGATGTAGAATAGTCACTTTTTTCCTCCCTTGTTTTGTCTTTCCACCTTCTAACCCCCAGCTGTGATAACTCCACCTTCCAGCTGATGTATTATTAAAACAACTCTGTCATTCCAAGTGTATTTCCCATTCCAAACAGATGCTTCTAGGTTTAGTGATTTGACTAACAAGATCACACTAACTGGCTGTATTGCTCCTCCTCATTTTCCTTTTAGTCACAAGGAGTATTTGGAAAAGCTGGACAATCCTAAATAATTTTGATAGCCAAATCCCCCACTTATATTGCTGCTTGATCTTTTTAAGCTTTTATGTACATCCTCTCTTATCTATTTTGCACTTAAGCAAACTCAGCAATGCTTCCCAAAACCACACAATAATGATTCCCATTTACCTTAATAAAAACCCTTCCTTTCTGTAACTTTGTGAGGTCTCTGAATCCCTTCAAAAATCCAGGCTGAAATTTCATTTGCTTCATTTTGTAGTAAAAATGCTAGAGCCATGTTTAAAATTGTTCATGCTTTTTCCCCTTTAATTTTTTCCTGCTCCTCTTTCATTTCTGCTTCCTTTTCTGCTTTCGAAATCAAATCTTAAAAGACTCAGGTTATGTGAGTAGTGAAATAGATTGCTCTCATATCAGCTTTATTTATTAGAGAAAACAGGCAACAGTAGCCAAGTTTTTTCCCTCATCACCTCTTCTATGCATGACCTCATCAGAACTCATCACATGCACCAGAGCTACTGTCCAAAGGCTGTACCAGCTGTACCAGCTAATAACAAATATCACTGCAGTCACAGTCACCCATTTGGTGTTCAGGCTCAGGAGACAAGAAATGGATGAGTTTTACATTGCTCCTGTTATGGCAAGGTGGGATCTGTTAATTAGCATTTGTTCTGATGGACAGTGTTGAAGTCTCCCAGGCTTTGATCTGGAATGGTGTCACTAGTAGTTTTTCCAAAAACAAAAAGCTTCTTAGCTTCATTCTTCCAACCCTTGGTCACTGACAGCCTTCCAATTACGAGTCTCTCCTGCAGCACTGTGCCACTCAGTAAGCTGTCTCTCCTCCCAGTTTTTCCCTTACTGACAATCTTCAGCCCATCACCTTCATACATTTCTCTCTGAACAAATCTACTCCTCTCTTAAATCCATCTGGGAATTCTGCTAACAGTACTCACAGAAAAAAAAAATTATATAGCAATAAACTTTGTAATCTTAAGTAGTTCTCGATATGTACAAAAGCTTGCAATACATCAGTCCCATCTGCACTGTGCAGATGCCTAGACCACTCAGCACTTACATTCCAGCCAGACTATCACCTTTTCCATTCCTGGCTTGCTCATTTTACTTCTTGCCTTTATAATACTTCACTTCTGGTCTCCTGTATATGAGGTATTTTTTATAACTCTTGCAGATATAAGCTTTGTGCAGCAGCTAAACTTGTTTCTCAAAATCACCCTGATCTGCAACTGAAACATGTTTATTTTCACAGCAAAACTTAGTCACTCCAAAATGGTTTCAAGTCTCCAGCTTCAGAACTACAATAAAATGCCCTGTAATATCTGTTTTCTTCCACACTGTTACCTGAAGTCTGCAAGTTTGGAATTACATTGAATTCACTCATACTTAATGTCCTACAAATACCTGTAAGATTATTCCAGGTGCTGTCTGCAGCAAAAAATCTGCAGAGTGGCACCATTTATTAATCTTTGTTTACTGATTCAGCAAGAGCAGTAAGTGTTCGGATTCTTACTTCCTACGTTGACATAAATTAATAGATTTACTCTCAGCTCCACCACTTTAACACAAATCACAAAGCCTGACCTGAGTATGTAGCATCTCAAGAGAATCTATAACACTGAAAAAACCGAAGATGAGCTGGCTTTTCTCCAAGAGGAAAGCAAAGTGCCAAAAGAACAGGCAATATTACCAGTATTAACATGTTTATAGCTTTTTTTTTTAATTCTCAGCCCTGCCCAGGATCTGCTGGATGTAGCTAAAAAAAGCTGCTGCGCAGAATCAGGTTTGACTCCATGACTCTGGATCTCCTTCTCCACTTCTAGTTCCAGTACTGTTAAAATGACACTTTGAGCCACTCAGATTTTATATTTGCTGTCTTAAAATATAAAGGAACATCTGCTCTTTAAGGACAACCCCTGCACAGAAAAGCATCCTTAGGCACAGCAGACCCACATAATCCTGCAGACATTGGAAACATAGAGCATGGTAAAACTAATTAGAAACCAGACTGGTCCAACTCCTCAGCAGAAAAGGTTGTGTGTCTCTAGAGCACAGCCTCTACTGACTAATACAGCAAGCCATGCTACAATTACTTAAAATTGTGTGAATAGCACCATTTATTAATTTCTTTTAATTAGTTCTGTATCATCAAAAAGTACTATTATATTCTCTTTTATTCAAAAACTGTGTTCACAGCTTCTGAAAATGTGCTGCTATTTCATCCTCACACAGAAGTTTTACTCATTATGTAATAAAGCAAGGAGACTTTTGAAGACTCTGTAATGGTTTGGAAAAGGAGCCTTTGTATTTAAAATTCTAATTATGCCATTAGATAACTTAAGACCATTCCAGAAGACCTATTATT